AACAAGATCTTCACCGATACTCCTTAGCACAGAGTCAATTTGTGACTTTCTGAATGTCACTGACTATTTTCCTGGACAGCATATGTTCTATCCTGGATCAGGGTCTCTATCATATTTGAGAAGCATCAGACGGAGGAAGGCTTAGACAAGACTTTTATCTCAACAATTGGGGCATCGGGTGAAGACAGACTCTCATTCCAATTTTGAAGAGTTTCCTATTCAAATATCATACTAGTGATCCACTATAGTTTGCAAACTATTTGGTTGTCAGTAGTATCTGATCAAAGCTACAGTAAGACTTGGCTTAACAAGAACTATATTCCAAAAAACAAACAGGTCCAAAACAAAAAAATTAATTAAATGTAAATAATACTCCCATATATTTGCTTATACCTTTATCAAATTAAACCAGTGTTCTTCAAACTTGGCACTTTTAAGAAGTGTGGGCTTCAACTGTTGAATTTAATTCAACTGTTAAGAGTTGAAGTCCACACATCTTAAAGTTGCCAAACACTGGATTAATCTTTAGGGTGCATCAGCATCAACAAAGGGAGGGGTTATGTGGCCGTCTCAACCCCCATTCTGGGGGGAAAAGTAACTCCAAAGCATTTGTTTTACCATTGTGGGAACAGGAGGCTAGACTTTTTAGTTGAATCCCAACGATTGCTCATGTTGCTAACCATCCAGCTTAGCTCATACATCGCCTCCCCACTGTCTTTTTGCCTATAGATGCCTATTTAATCTGTGGGCTTACAGCAAATGAGTTGTTTCTCACCACTGGAAGGTTCCAGTTGCCTTCAGCCAGCGCTACATAGATGCCTTCAAGCCACAACAGCAACTTTGACATCACAACATGGTGCTGGTGGCTCTGAACTGCGCAGAGCTTTTTTTTGAAGCCTTTTTACTACCCTGCCTTTTTACTACCCTGCTTACCATGTGAGTTATTAATTACAGAAGGTAAGGATTTCTTGGGAGAAGAATGCATTTTAAAGTGAAATCTCGAATTCTGTTGTGACTCAACAGGACCTTTGCCTGCTGGACTCTGAGCAAAACAAACAGATGCTGTCAGAATATTAATTTCAGCAAAAAAATTTAATTGACTTATATTGACTTTTATATTTTTTATGAAACATTCTAGTTTTTGTAGCCTCGACTGGCACGGCGACCACGAGCTCGTTCAAATTTCCTCCCCTTGGAGCGAACATATGGCCTGGAAAAAGAGAAGGGTGCGTGTGTGAGTAAGATAAATAGCCTATTGTTGCATCTCACTTTTATGCAGAGAATAAAAACACATGTGTTCTGATATTCAAAAGTCACAAAATATGGCTTCCTATTCCCATTCACTTTTCTTCAGCTCCCTAATCCAACAGAATTCTCTCTTAAGTGGAAAAACAAGTAACTATAGTTTCTAGCTTTCAAATTGTTTAATTT